TGAAATTCGATTCTTACATATTTTCAATTACAATAATAACGAATTTTACATAAAATTTACCAGATATTTATTTGTACAACCAACAACAACTGTTCTAATCGCTTATCCAACCAATCAATTAACTGACACTATACGCGATTCAAATAAATTCACAGATTTGAAGTAATGATAAAAAAAACCCCAAGAATAAGTAAATATATAATTTTAACCCATATAAGTCTGCCTGTACATACTTATGTGCAACGTGAATATAAAAATTTTCAAGTACCTGCATACATATATACATGGATATGTATATATATATTTACATGCGTATTGCCTTTAGGATTAACACAATGCTATGCATGCGTAAATAATTTTAAACACACACAAAATTCATTCGAATCTATAAACCTGCATGTGCTCATAAACTCCTATAATATAAAGATGCCTGTGATGTGCTACGCTCTTTTTCCAGTAATACACATACGCACGTACAAACTTCATTCCCTGTTGCTTTAATTGCTTTATGTATACAGGCATACACAAATAGGTTATGTACAACTTTATACATAATATAAGCCTTGTAAAACGTCCTAATTAAATCGAAAGGATCAGCTGCCAAGGGAACAGATGCGCATTAAAAAAATATAACAAAAAGAAATATTGAAAAAAAAGGAGAAATTCATTTTTTTTTGTAAATGTGCGCGATTGTATTAAAAAATTGAAAGCAACAGAATAAAAAGATTTTCTTTTTATAATATTATTTGAAATTTACGCATACATATGTATTAGTGTTACGTTACGTACGTTTATTAACGTATAGGGCAACTTGTATAGTTTTATGCATTTGTATAAGTGTTATTTTAGTTACATATACTTACATACATTTTTATTATTTCCTTTCAATAAAAATAATATACTGGGACCTCTTCAATATTAATAATATAAAGGTATATGAAGTGGTAGTTCACTTAAACCACATTGCACATTGAAAATATTCGACACAGTGTGACATCGATTGGTTCAAACGCATAATATTTCCCACTTGACTGGCAAAGTGAAAATTTCGATCCTAACAAAATATTGTACAATTTTAACTTTTCGAATATATATTTACAAATATACACGCTATATTTGAGTTATTTTAAAGAATTTACTTCAAAAAATTGTTCAAATGTAGCGCAAATTTCGTACAATTCTTCAATTTATTTCTTTATTACAAGTATTTTTAAACTGAAATGTAGTTGTATAATATTAGACTAACTCTGTTAATATACTCTTCGGTTAATAATTTTCGGAAACTGTTCAAAACCTCTTTGCATTTTTATATGAAGCTTGTCATAACATTGAATTCGGAAAATTTTCAATACGTAAGCTAAGACACAAACCTAATATTAAAATTCAGGTTTGTATCTAAAGTTGATACTCAATTCAATGTAATACAAAATAATCTAGCAACTTTAGATTAATTTTCTTGATTCCTGTTTAAATAATTTAGATTGTTTAATTGTACATTGAAAATTGGGATTAATTTTATAATGCGATGCGTATGTGACTATACTCAGGAATTAGATTAGTCCTAATCACCCTTAAAACCAAATCTTCGTCTTGTCTTCTTAGCATCCGAATATCGACAGATTACAAAATCATCCGCCATCAAAGTTCTTCACAATCTACATTCTTCAGTTGATCAGTGCTCCTTTCCATAGCGTATCATGGACTTCTTTAATTTTCAACCTTATATTTTTCTTAAGTACAATATCTTTTACTCTTCAAGATGATCTATAATACCATTGAAATTGAGACACCTTTTCGTATACATATACTAGGTACTTAAGGTAGGAATATAACATAAAAATATTGTCGATCTTTGCCGCTTATGTTCATTGTTGTGTTGATAACATATATATACAAACATATTTAAAATATAAATTTATAAAGGTCGCTTCAATATTAAATTATGTTCTTTTTGTTTTTTTTACTTTTTATTTTCTTTATTTTTTTTTTTAATTGTACTTTATTTGCTCAACATATTCCTATATTCCTTAACCATCATCATTTAGTATTTTGTTGATCTTGAAACCATTTAAATCGTTCAGTTGGTTACACTTAAAACTAATATAGAAGCTCTCTCTCTCGTTCGTCTTAAATAAATAAAATTTATTCGGTATATTTAGAGTTTTAACAGCAACTATAATACTAATTGGTATACTTATGGTATACTACCGTGCCACTGTTTAATAATAAAAACAAAATTATTTTAGAATAATTTTATTAAGATAATCTAAAAGTTAAGCTCGGAAGCGTGTTTAGTGTTCTTTCTTTAGTCAGAAATTTAAAAGAAAAAAAAAATTTTAATTTGTTATATTAAAAGTGCCATCAATTCTAACAACTTCTTATAATAATTATTCAGTAACTTTACACATAATTTATTTAAATTTAAAATAGAAACACAGAACGAAACAAAATTAAAGGGTAGGAGAGGACGGAACCTTATGATTAACGAAACTTTACCGGAACTTTGTGAATTTTTCTATGTTTTTTTTCTTCTCATTTCTCATTTGCAAAATTTATAATTTTCTTAGAGTATAGTTGAGTGTAATAACCTTCATAAAGGAAGTTTAAAAAAATTAAAAGTATATAAAATGCTTTAAAACTTACTTGTGTTTCTGTTAGTGTGTACATTACCTACATACTATACATGGTTAATTATTATTGTTTATAAATAAAAACTGTTATATAAGAAAAAAAATTCAAATTAAAAATAAAAATAAAAAACATTTGGGGTTCTTATATATGTACTTACCTACCTACCTATGGTTCTAACACTATTGTATAATTGTGTGTTCTCTTTTAAATAATTTTAATTATACAAACTTTTTATAAAAGCGTGAGGTCAAAATGTAATCAAAAGTGACAACAAAAATAACAACAAAGAGAATAAAAATTTAATAAGAGAGCCGGCTAAAATTAAAAATTTTCACTTTTAATTCACAATAATTATTTTATAATAATTGCATAATAAGAATTTTTAAAATTTATTTATTATTTTTGTATAACAATAAAGAAATTTAATATACATTATTAATATCTAGTCAAATTTTTAAATTTTTTATTATACTGTGAGTTTTATAAAATTTTTGACAAAATGGTTCTCGATAATATTATACATTCATTAAAAATATCATTTAATAAAGTTAATAATCGTCGTAAAATGAAATTTTTTACAACATTTCCAAATATTTTATCACAATATTCATCAATACAACAATATGATACAGATTGTATTGATGGTATGTTTCCACGGGTATATAAACAAAATTTAGCTGATATTGAATTAACAATGTTTAATACTGATTTAACAGTACAGGATGCTGAATATTTAGATAATGTTATTGATAAATTTGTACGTGTTATAACAATTGATATTAATGAAACGAAAAGATTTAATGTAAGAAATTTTTTTTTTAAATTAATTTATTATAATACCGAATTTAATTATGACACTGTCAAAATTATTTAATTACCCTTGAAATGACAGTACTTGGAGTTAATAATTATGTAATATAAAATTCCGACACGTCACTGCCTAAACTACACTAACCAACACCAATATAAGAGAGTTGTAGTCGATAGTATAGCTACGAAGTTCATTAATTCCGGTACATGGCCTAACATTTTTTATATGAAAAATTTTTGTCAAATCTGCTCTATTACCAGATCGTACCGTGGGCTATCTTTTACTCAGATCATAAGAGGTTTTCCTATTATTTTAAGTATTTTTCACAAAAATTAGCCAAACTTTCAAAAATTTCCCAAAATAACACTATATAAATCTGAAAATCTGCAAAAAAATAATTTCCTTTTACTTAAGTACTTTAATTGTAGTTTTGTTTTAAAATTTTTTGTTTTTCCAAGTATGTGTCTATATACATATATAAACGTATCCATCAATAGTATGTAGATCAAAACGCTCCTTTAATAAATATATTCACACACAATAGCTAGCAAGAATTTTTAAAATAAATTAAAACCCATAATTGATCTACTAATTTCCTTGCTATATTTTAAATTTACTATTCCGTTTATAATAATTATTGCGTGATAAAAGATTGACATACAAACTGGTATATACACTAATTCATTATGAGAAAAATTATGTTCCTCTCTATTTTTTAATCATTAGGTGAAAAGAGAGTAATTGAGTAAATGATACTCCATCCAATGTACTTAATATCAAATTTGGTGTAATTTCAAGAAATGTGAGTGAAATTAAGCCAAAAGCTGTAAGCTAAAGCTACGCTACCACAAGAAGACAGAAGTTTAGATAATATTAATTGTTAAGGCCTTTATTTTAAAGAGGCAGGGGAGAGTTTATTTGTAATACTTTAGTTGAAGAAAAATGAGAGACACAACTGTGAAAATTAGAATTTCGATTGCTGGTCAATAAAAATAGGAGATATGAATATCGTATTAGAAACAATTTGGAATAAGGCCTCAGTTCTTAAATATTACAATCACAATAGAGAGCAAACATGGAGTTGGCACGATCAACTCTATCCGTTTTTATTTGTAAAAAATATTATTTCCTGTATAAAAAGTTCACATACATAATTTTATATATGATATATTTTTTGTTTACCTATATAACGTTATTGTTAAAATGTACAATTCCTGTTATACTATAGGAGCAACCCTCTTCTTACTCATTTAATTTTTTATATATCTATTATAATATAATGAATAACCAATGAATCGTAAATAAAATTAAAATAAAAATAAATTAAAAGTCAGTTACGCTGCAATAGTTGCTTGCCATCATATAGAATTTTTCAAGTTGACGCAATTTATGATATATAAATATAACAATATTTTCATTACATAAATTATAATATACAAACATACACACCAACTTATATTCCAGAATTTCAAGAAATGTAACGATAATACCATTATATTTTACAAATTTTAATTTATATAAAAAAAAAAATTCTTGAATTTTAATTTAATTTTTTTTCTTTTCTTTTATTTTTACAGAGACGTAATGATCGTGAAGAAATTCGACGACGTTTAGCAATGGGTGCAGAAGATGACTATTTTAGTAGAATGGTTAATAATACATCAAATGATAGACCAGGACGTAAACCAAGTTTACAATCAAGATTACAAAATGGTAAGAAATCTTTTATAATTATTGTAAGGGACTTATGGGTGTACGCCTCTATCGGAATGTGTTTGAGAAGGTTTTAGGGTTTTCTTACTCAAGAGTATTGTATAACTGATGTAGATGGCAGTATTCATACCAATAATCTCTCCAAGTGAGAAATTTGTACTTAACGAAAACAAACTCTCCGACTTATTCTGAGATATGCTCATAATGTTAATAAATTTCCGATCGGATTTCTTAATTAATTTAAAAATAAATTTTGTACTTTTGCAAATAATGACAAAATAAATCTTCAAATTTTCAATTCTATCAAGAATAACAATTTAAAATTGCCTTTGAACACAAAAACAATATGCTTTCATAAAAAAATATACATATATATAAATAGGTCCATAGCAATTCTTCGAAAATTTTAATTGAACACGTTTCCCGAAAATTTCAATAGAATGTCATTTGTCCTTCAAATGTCATTGTCATTAATATTTTAAATTCTTGTAAAATATCAAAGGTTTCTGAATTTGGACAATATAAGTGAGAGCATAAAATTAACAAATTGTTATAATTTTACAACTAGAGTACGAAGAATTTTGAACACCCACGTGGATTTTATCTCACTTCCGATATATTGAATTTCAATATACCGGAAATTGAATATATTTAAAAATTCTAATTAAATGTTGAAAATAAATTATGAGAACCGAACAAATTTCTTCTATATCCCCAATGCCTTTGATTTAGGGGTTTTGTTTTCACTTATTTTACCTTTTAGTTCTATTAACAGTTTTATTAAATCCTAATATACTAACATTTTTTATTTATATATGTAGGTAATAATTTACAAATATGTTTTATGAATGAAGCATCATCAGATACTGAAAGTATTAGTTCTGATTCAGAAACATGCCCAAAATTATCAAAATCGACATCGAATGCATCATCAAGATATAGTTCAATGTCATCAATATCAACATCAAATCCATATAATTCACGTCCTTTATCTGTTAATATTACAAATAATAATAATAATAATTTGACAACAATAACAACAACAACAAATAATAATAATAGTCGAAGAACATTATCTCAAAGACCATCAACATTGTCATTGGGACCACCAATATCTGAAGAAAATTCAGAATCTGATTTCTTTACAAAGCAAGCACGTTTACAAATTGAAGCAAGAATGGCCTTAGCACAAGCAAAAGATATGGCTCATATGCAAATGGAGGTGAGAAATTTAAAAAAAAAAATTTTATAAAAATTTTATTGTAAAAAATTTTTGCCATATTTTCCAGATTGAACGTCAAAAACAAAAAGAATCACCAATAACAGAAGTTATACGTAATGCAATGGAAAAAGTTGGTGTTAATTTTCCAATTGAAAAACGTCGTGTCTCAAGACAAATGTGCACCGATATGAATATTGCCCAATTACAAATTATTGTTAATGATTTACATACACAAATTGAAAGATTAAATGATAATTTGGTACAATATTTAATGGAACGTGATGAATTACATATGAGCCAGGATTCAATGCTGGTTGATATTGAAGATTTAACAAGATATTTGTAAGTGTTATTTTTTATATTTTTTTTTTCAAATGAAATATGAGTTGAAAGTGATACGAGTATATACTTCTTTGTTATAAAAAAAAATTGTTGTGGTGAGGGCGTTAAGAAGGAACCCGCATAATATTTGTATAATTTATAACTAAATATGTGATAATTTTATGCGGTCAAATTAAATTAAAAGTGGGGGAAATTTGAAAATTTTAATTGAAGGCAATTATTTTGCAACTACTTTACGCTTATTATACGGTAGTTTTCAAAGGAAGTAAAATTTTTTTAAGTGAAGCTCTTGAAATATTAAAGAAAATAATGTACTTAAAAGAATTACAGCAAAATATTAGATTAGCTTCTTAAAAATTAAATAAAAAAGGGAGGGTAAAATTATGCTAAAATTTCCAAATTGAATTTCGAAGCTAATTTTCTTATATCATTTAAATTTGTTGAGAAAAATTCGAAATTATTTAGAATTTTAAATTAAAACTGTGAAAAAAAATTTTAAATTTATCGGCCAAAAAAATTAATTTTTTATGGACAATTCTCAAATAAAAGCGAGTCGTCGGCAACCTTATCATTTAATACGACTGTTGTACACATTAAAACACATTGCCGCATTTCGTTACAGTTATAATACGTTATAACACTCATAACAAAAAATAAATCACATTTTTTCCTCATGAAATATTCGAAAAATATATTACAGTTGTCAAATTGTCATTCTCTCAATTCCTATTTAGAAATTGAATGTCTTACGTTTTCAATAGGATTTTTATTCCCCTCAATGTAGAAAAATTACTAGAAAATCCTCTTTCTCTACTAATATATAAATCTAAAAATATCGACACAAATTTAAAAAGGAAAAAATAATTAAGTGAATTTTTCTTTATCTTACTCGAATTTCGAATTTCGAAATGCAATAATATGAGAAATGCTCTTCTTAATTCTCATCTTTAAAAATTAATTGCATACTATTTAAATGAATAATGAATGCTCAACTCACTTACTCAATTTTTTCTCACTCTAAAATCAAAAAATCTATTTTTTTTATGTATATTTTTTGACATAATATTCCGCCTATCAATTACCGATGAGTGAATGATTGAAATCTCTCACTCATATTAGATAAAATTTACTATAAATCTCAACAATTTGGAATAATTCAAACATCCTGATCGTCTATCTCGCTATTTTCCTCGAAAAGTGAGTAATTATCATACACTTGTATAATGTAATTTTCAAGTGAGAATTATTTGGTATTGCGAATCTCATTTTTTGTAAAATACATACAAAATATATTCGCTTTTTTTTGAGAATGAGACGTTCAATCGATAATTTGAAAAAATGAGTAATTCGAAAAGTGAAAATTGAAACTGATTTGAAAATGAATAAAAGGTGAGTAAAAAAGCGAGATACACGATCAGGTTGTAAATATTCTAACTCGTATGTTGAAAATATTCTACGAATTAATACAAAAAAAATTTTAAATAATGCCACAAATTATAACGTAATTTAAAATATTCTTCTTCAAATGTAATAAAACAGGTCCATTTTCTGGTTTTCTGTATTTTATGTTTTAACCCTTTAGCCAACATTTATTTCATCTGCCTCTATTCCTGTTATCAATCAAAATATTATTAACTTTATTAAAATTGACATATGTTTTAAAAGTTTAAACACTCAGTAAAACAGGTTTTTATTTTTATGAGATTCACAATTTAAATATCATAATCAAATTTACACACGACCATACAATAAGAAATATTGCAATTTCAATAAAAATAAAACCAAAAATCATTACTTCAAATCCAATTCCTTTTTTCATCCATACCCACATTCATACATAATAATCACCTTCTGTACACAAATTTCTTGTGATTTTCACCAAAAAAAAAATATTAGGAAGTAAAACTTTACAAAAAGCAAATAAAAAAAAATTATATAAAATTTTTTTTTAATTGATAAAATTCCATCTGTTAAATTACAAGTTGGCATTCAATTAAATTTTTCCTCAATTATTATTGTACTGCAATCATTTTTAATTCCTCGACCATCGAAAATTATCCTTTAAAAATCTCTGATATTTTTGCAGCTGGATCAAAAGATTTTTTAAATGAGTGTATAGTGTGTTGTTTTTGTTTTTTTTTTTTCTCTCTGCTGCTAAAGCAGGTGAATTTTTATTTTATACGTGTACGCCGGAGTACGCGTATTTAAGTGTAAAAGTTAGTCGGAACCAATTAATTGTCTGTTGGTTAATAAAATATAATCATACATTTTTTCCCCAAAAAAAAATTTTTTATATTTTTACCTCTGAACGTATAGTGGGCAATTTTAGCATAAGTGCATACTTATATAGGTGACTTTATATTTTCATATAAAGTCACTATTTTTGCTATGTAAATTTGTATAGAAAGTATGTATACACATGTTCGTATGTAGATAATGTGTATGATATCGTAAATTTATATTATAATAATAATATTATTTTATATTCAATTCACACATACCATATATGTACATAACTTCATGTATGAATTGAATTAAGAGGATTGATTGAAACAAATTTTTAAGTTCAATAACCTTATAGTAAGAGGAAATTATTTTAATTATTATGATATTCGTTTTTTTTTTAGGGTTTCGTAAATATCACGTGCTATTCAAAATTTTTGATTTGTTGTTTTTTTTTTATTACGAAATTATGCTTTATATGGGTGAGAATAAGAAGTACCTAGGCGTACATAATTGCATTTCAATATAAAAGTGGTGAATTGATAATCATTGCTTTTTCAAAATTTATGGTGATTATTGTGGTTTTTAATTTTAAAATTGTGAATTATAACTACAATTGGAATTATTTATTATATGAAATCAAAATAATTAATCGATTTCGTATTATTTATGTATGTATGTGCTATTAAAATTTTGGACTTGTAAATAAAATATTATTATAATAACGCGCTTGTAAACTACAGTGGGGCATTGAAATTTGCAAGCAACACAAATCGTAATAAATTTATCTTAAATAATACACGTTTGTCAGTTTTTACACTACATATTACTACAATACTACATGATCAATATTTTGCATATTTTCCTTCTCCTATTCTCTCACACTTTAACTCTATTTTATTGTTTAAAAAAAATTTTGAGAATATTTCCCCAAAAAAAAATCTGAGAAGATTTTGAATTCAACTAAAATGTCAAATTAGAACGACAAATTGAATTCTACGACAGTGGTAACAAAATTCTCATTTACTAGTTTATTAGACATTTGCATCTTAGCCTTTGTCTTGTTAATACAGGAATGTGCCGGAATTTTTAATAAATAATTTTTCATTTTACATAAATTTCAAATTACAAATAAAAATTAATAAGATTTTTTTTTATAATTATAATTTTAATGTTTTAATTTTTTTTTCTATATTTTAGGAGTGCTAAAGAACAAACAATATTAAATGAAAAATCAGATAGAAAAAATTCAACAGAACTAGAAAAACAACAACAACAATTATCCAATAATAATTCAAATGGAATCAAAAATAATCATGATACACCACAAATGCAAAGTAAATTCCAAAGGATAGCAAGTCTAGTCAAAAAATAAAATGAAAAATAATTGAAAACCAAAAAAAAAATAAAAATTACAATTATGTTAAAATTTATTAAATAAAAATGTTAAAACTAAATAAATAAAAAAATATACTAGTTATAATTGTATTAAAATTAAAAATATGAAAAACATCAACAAAAAACATAAAGCTTAAAAATATTTAAAAAAATTAAAAAAGAAAAAAATTGTAATGAATAAATTTTAAAACGCACGCGGTTACATGTAAAAACATTCGAACTTCAAAATTACAGAAAAATATTTAAAAAAAAAAAAAATTGAATTTTGAAAAATTTAAAAAAATTTGTGAGTTAAAATCAAAAATTAAATTTTTAAGACAAAAAATAATAAATTAAAATATTAATTATTATTATTACACATACCATATACATATATATAACATATATTTGTTCATAAATTAATAAAATAATAGAATTTCTATATTATATTTTATGTATATTTCGAATATTATGTAAAATATATATGTCAGAATAAATGTTAAAAATATGAAAAATATTATAGGTACATATACATATAAAAATAATATTATGTAAATATAAATTTATATTAATAAATTAAAAAGAATATTTAAAGAAAATTTGAAAAAAAAAAAAACATATTAATATAACACAAAAAATAAATTATATTTATATATATTTAAAGGATCGAAGAATACGTAAATGATACTCAAAATTTTAACACTTAAAATCAGAAAATTTTGTTTTTATTTTATTTTAAAATTATTTTAAAACTAAATAGAATATTTTGTTTTTATAAAAATTATGGTTATTACAAAATTATTTTTTTATTTCTTTTTTTCTCTATATGTTTTAAAAATGAAAATTATATTATAAGAGACAAGTAAAATTTAATTTTAAGTATATTAGGCATTTTCATAAACGCATACTGCGTGATGTATAGCGAAATCTGCGCTATATTATGTTAATTAACAAAAATATTGTTAATTTAGTTTTCATAAACATAATATAGCAAAATGATTAGGAAATATTGTAAAACTATTATAAGTAGCGCAGTATAAATATATGAAATATTTTGCTTTTATATAATAGTCAAAAATATTGTTATGTTTTTGCAGTTTTAAAATATTGCATTCATAAAAATCTCTATTAAATTTGTTTAAAATTCTTTAATTTGTGTATAGTTCAAATTCGAATTTTTTCAATTTTGAACGTTTAATTTAATTGAAATTGTATTCGCAATACAAATACTAATTTTCAAAAAATAAAATTACAATTAAATAGTTTAATAATTTCTAATAACAAAATTCAATCAAACTCAAAAATTTTAATGGTTAATTTGATACTAAAATCTGTAATTTTGTAAAATATTATTTAAATTTTTATATAATTTACCTTTCACTGTATAGTTTTCTTAATAAACTCCAATGTACATATTTTACAATAATTTAAAAACATTATAATTTTTAATATAATGAAATTGTTTTTAATTCAATAACTCTTACAAAATTTTTAATTAATTAACAGATCTTCATTTCACTATATCTTATTTTAAATTATTGTTATATCATCATAAACTCGGTTATATTTATACTTTAATCATAAATTCTAGAGCGTTCTCCACATTGAATGATTAAATTAGAAAAATCAGAAATCTTATAACATTCTGCTTTAGCATTACATTTACATTTTCTAGAACATTCTATGATAAATCCTTTAATAATGTTTTATGTAATATTTATTTGTACAGTATTGTCAAATGGTATAAAAATTATTATACAATATAAAACATCAGAAATTAAGGGATAACATTAGAGTCTCTTCCAAGAACTTGAATTGTAATAATAAGTAATTGAGAAAGTAAATATAATTCTAATTCTGAAATCCGTTTTGTTAATTAAATTTTGTAAGATATTTGTAATAAACAAATTTAATTTTCAATTAACAAAAACTCAAAAAACAAAATTTTTATTATATAAACTCAATAACTGATTTTACTTGTCCAATATAATTTACTATATTACATTGAATTTTCTAAACATTTTATATTATAAAAATTTTTATTTTTAAATTATTTTATATTATGAACATTTATTTTACTTTTACTTTAAAATTATATTTAAATTTATTCACTTATTATTTTTCTCAAAATTTTAATTTTACTTTTTTAAAAACTATATTTTTTTTTAAATAAGGTTTGGCATTATTATTTTTATTTTATATTAATTTTTGTTAATTAATATACATATACCTCTATAATATACATATACCTCTATTAAATTTACATACATTATTATTATTATTATTTAATTTAATTTTTCAATGTAAATATTAAATATTTTAATATATTCACAAAATACATGCATAGTAATATGAAATGAATTAAAAAAAAATTATTTAAATTAAAAAATAAATAATATAAAAATAATAATTAAAATGTTGTTTCATTTAAATTTAATAATAAAACAAATTAATTAATTAAATAAAATTTTATTTTTAATTAAAGAATATACAAGAAGAAAAATTTAAATAAACCCGTAATATATAAACAACCATACATACAACAAATACAAATATTTATGAAAATAATACAATAAATAACTAAAAATAAATAAAACAGAAAATAAATCCGAAAAAAACAAAACCAATAAATATTTATAATAAAATAAATTAACATTATTATTAATATAAAAAAATAAAATTATACACTTTTAGATAGAGTTTTAGAAAATGAAAAAAATATTATTATTATAAAAATATTTGAGGTGAGATTTATGCCCGCGATTATTACAAATAAAAAATAAAATATTTAAAAAATTTTGAAAAAATTTTTTGAATTTACAAGAGTACATAATATATAAAAATCATATACAATAATATTTTATTTATATTTGAAAATTAAATTTGAAAAAAAAATAACATTGTTATTTAATCTGATTATAATAATTTCACATTTATAGTAGAGTCGCAGAACAAAATGAACAATAAATATAATAAAAATAATTAAATATAATATTAATAAAATAATATAATTATTAATATTATATTTAAATATCGTATATATTTTGTATAATTAATATGTTACCGAAATATTTTAAGTATTATTTAAGATGAAATGAGAATAATAATTCAAATTCCCCCATTTTTTTTTACTTAATTGTTAAAAAAATGAAAATTTCTTTATATATATATATATAAATATCAAAATTTTACAAGCCATATCATGTTGTTAGAACACTTTGTGCAAAAAACATAAATTTAACATCTCACAATTTAAAAAAAGAATTAATTATCGAAAATATTTTTGAAAAAAAATATTTAATGACGAATAAAAAATCTGTTAAGGGCGAAATATTAAAACAGAAGAAGAGTATAACAATTTGTGTGCCCTTTTGATGGTTAACAATCATTAACAGGTTAAGGTTAATAAACTTCCTATATACCCCGTTTTTGTTTAATGCAGAATACCAAAATCTTTTCATTCGATTAAATCAATTGAACTCAGAAGAATTTCCAATGACACTTGTGCTCTCAAAACCTCTTTAAAATTAAATATGCATCCCAATCCAATTTTTAAATTTGAAAATAAAGATTTAATCTATTCTCAAATTAATTTTTTTTTTTAATTTCTTTCTTTTACATAATTATTAAATGTAATATAAAATGTAAATAAATTTGTTATCATAATTTAAATTAGGTTGTAATTTTATTGTAAAAATAATAAAATCATTTAATTATAATTACAAAATATTCAACCCTATCGTGAATTCTCATCGTAGAACTCATCGTATGAGTTACGAACATAGACGAAGCTACGATGTAGAGTTTTAAATGATCAAAAATTCAATGAATTTATGATTACTATACTATTACGAATATTTGTAGTAGGATTTTAGTAATTTGGAATTGAACGAAATTCATGATATGACTTGATTGTCTAACCTGCAAAAATTTTATGCTTACATTTATACTATCAAATTTCTAATTTAAAATTACTTTCACTTAAAAGACATTTATTCAATTTTACGCCACTTTTAATTCAAAAAATTTCAAATTTTATAATATTTATATAAAAATATTATTATATACAATACAATTTGAAAAACAAACAAAATGTATTTAATAATTAATTAAATAATGTTACGAGTAATTAAAATTCAATATTCGATTCCTAATCAAAAAAATAATTCGAAGTTAAAAAATAATTAAAATGAATTGAAAATTGTTTCGCCTAAATCTATGCAATATTTAGTAAATAAATACCAAAAATCATAAAATCAAAAATGAGTATCATTTTTAATTCATAAAATTGCATATATTTAGGATGAACTATTACTGTATTAGTAATATTGTAATAGAATGCATAAAAATTAAAAATTGTACTAGAGTAATGAAATGAAATTTCAGAATTTCTCTTTTTAACTAATTTAAATAAACTTTATCACAAAATATTATTGAAAATATTAAAAATAAATTAAATTAAAAAAAAAACAAAAATATAGAAAAAAAAAAAATGAAATGAGAAACGAAAATATAGAAAAATAAAATTTCAAATTAAAAATATTTTATAAAAATTTCAAATATAACCAAAAAAAAAAAATTAAATAAATATTAATAAAAATGAATATAACAAAAAAAAAAATATCAAATATTTTTATTATACAAACTTGATTTCTTGTTTCTTATGCCTCCTATCTATGTTTGATTTTATACTCTTTTATTAAAATACCTACTAATATATTATACTATATATATGCAGTGTTTTTAATTGAATTATAAATTAAAAAATGAGTTTGAAATTTTGAAATTAGCAATTATTCTTAATTAAATTATTAATATCCATATATATATCTCTATATTAAAAAATATAATCAAAAATCAAAAGAAAAATTCCTTTTAAAAATCTTGATATATATAACAAATATATAACATAATAAAAATATATACTTTTATATAAAATATTATGTATAATCTTAAATTTTTTTCTATATATAATATATTAACCTTAATTATTTGACTGTAGTTTTCAAATTTTCCGAAAAAATTAATAAATAAA